CCTATCATGAAAGGCAAGGGTTGAAAAGGTGTTCGTTTGACTAATTGAGCCGGGAGGCTTGTCTTATGACCAATTAAATGTGAGCACTATCCGGCAGCGGGTATCTTCAACCGTGCCCGGGTGCAAACTACATAGCGAACCAACCTCGGTCTTGTGATCTAATCTTCTACTTAAACCCTGGTCCATCCCTTTTGTCCCTCCCCTTCCCCTTGTCTGGGATCTCGTCTGGGATGAATGGCCGTAGTCCTTCTAAAGTAGCGTCCATTGCTGCAACCAGATCACGGTCTGAATCGATTTGTTCACGCAACCGGTCTTTCTCCCTCCTCAAGGTGGCCAAAACATACCGATAATGGCTCGTTGTCGCTATGCTGTCAGGCAGGGATCTGAGCGCCTCCTGGTGAATTTCGCTATGACGAACCAGGTCCATACGATCCATCTCGGTAAACTCATCTCCCCTCGTCAACAATTTATCAAAGGCGGCCTGCAAATTCCTAATCGAAGGGTCGGATGAAGCCTCGGGGTCCATAGCTCTTTCCCACACTTTGCCAATTGCCTGAACGACCTTGGCTACCACGCCCGTGCGATCACCAATGCTGTCATCAGACACAACCTTGATATTGTACTTGCGACATAAACCCCTTGCACGTGGGGAGTTTGGATCCAAGTCCAACAATTCGGTCGAAGGTGGTGGGCGTGGTGTTGTCCTCTCTTGAGTGTAGACGAAGACAGGAGCCGGGCCGAAAACGAAGGCATCGCCTGGCCGAGTTGGCAGAATGGCAGCTCCTCCTTGGCCCTGGAGTCGTAATTTGGCCTCTTGTGATTTCGTCAGATACTTCTGTGATCCCAGAGTACTATTGGACCTTGAGGCGCCAGGGGAAGACATGCCTGGTTTGTCAGAGGCAGGAGCTGGAGCAGACGTGCCAGGTGTTTGAAAATCAATGGAAGGCTGAACAGCCGAGGCCGGGGTAAATGAACGATTGACTTGAAAATCGAAAGGGGATCCTTTATTAGCCGAGGCTGGTGCAGGGTTGTTAGGCTTTTGGAAATCGAAAATGGATGGCTGACGAGCCGAGGACGGGGGAACAGGCGGCACATTCGTTGAAGTGTCCACTTGCTGAAAATCAAAAATCGATGCCTGACGAGCCGAGGCTGGTGCAGGGATGTCAGGCTTTTGGAAATCGAAAATGGATGGCTGACGAGCCGAGGACGGGGGAACAGGCGGCACATTCGTTGAAGTGCCCACTTGCTGAAAATCAAAAATCGATGCCTGACGAGCCGAGGCTGGTGGAGATCTGCCAGGCTTCTGGAAATCGAAAATCGATGGCTGATGAGCCGAGGACGGGGAAACAGGTGGCACATTCGTTGAAGTGCCCACGTGCTGAAAATCGAACATTGATGCTTGATGAGCCGAGGTCGGGGCAAAAGCTGAAGTACCGACTTTAAACTCGAAAATGGATTGGTGAGCCGAGGCTGGGGTGAATGGGTTGGAACTTAGAGCAGGGGTAGGTTCTTTGAAATCGAAAATGGATCTATGAGGAGCCGAGGATGGGACGTCCACTTCCATCACTAGTTCGGATTCTTGGCTCTGTCCTATCGGCCACCCAGAATTTAGGTTTGGCTAGTTTTCTGTCACCGACTGGAACTCACTTGGTTGAAGAGGGGGTAGAGCCTCGGCCGTTCCTAAGATATGGTTAGAACTGCTCAGCCGACAAGAGTACATAAAACTTACCATCCTTCATTTCTTGGTCTTTCATCACAGCTTCTGTTTATCTACATTAAGTAGACAATCCTTGGTGTGGAGTAGGGACAATACCTGGATTTGTTAAAGACATATCAGTCAGAGAGTAGATAGCTTTTCCTGGGATTGCACTGTGTGGTTGGTGATGAAGACGCATTG